ATATATATATATATATATACACACACCACTGGGTATGCACTAGTGATTTTGCAGAACACCCCATCTATACAGTGAGTGTTATAATGTAATCAGGAAATAGTGTGGGTATGAGGCAAAGCATACCTGACCAGGCAACACCTGCCACAGAATGGGATCCCATATGCAGTGGTAAAAACAAAAGGGGGTCTCTGAAAAGAAAACATAAATGAAAGGAAGAGACAGACTTACCCCAGTCATAGGTGAATGGAAGTGTGTATAATCACCATGACAGGAAAATGATATCCACCTGAGGAAGATACAGCCAGATTGTGCAAATGAAGAAGGTATTGGGAGTTATCCACATTCCAGCCTAATAATCTCCTCCAAAGGATGGTGAAAGTGAGCAGCCAAAGACATGGTGATATGTTGAATTTGATGAGAAGAAACACTGTGGAAATGATGACCTTCCATGGATAAGTCTGAATATGCCAGCCTAAAAAGTTGGCAAACCCAACCAGTTAAAGTGCCAGGGAAGAGATCACAGGAAGTGGAAGGGTTCCAGGGAATAAAACATTGGGAACATGAACTCTGAAAGGAAGCAGAATGTGCCACATAACAGTGTAAGGAGCAAACCAGATAAAGAAGCTAATCTGATCAGGATTGGAATGAGAGTGAAGGTGGGAAATGGGTGTGAAAGCCAATCCTCCTTCACAGGCAATACAGGTCTTAGGGAGGACGGACTGGTTAGGATAAAATACGACATATGGGGAATGGTAGAGGATACGAGTAACATAAATGGCATAAATAACTGATTGACAATGTCTGCAAGCAAGGAGGAATAGAAAATTGGTATTGAGTGAGAGATGGTACATGAAACACATAGACAAAAGTTCAAAGGAAGGTTGGGAAAGAATATAAAGGACCCCACTGAGATCCCAATCACGCAAAGCAAAGGAATGTGGAGGACGCACCATGAGTGGAAAAGGAGCGAAATGACAGAGGGAAGACAAAACCTGATGAAACTTGGAGAAACAAAAGGTGCCTGAGAAGGCCGCTCAATAGCTATATACGTTCAAAGTGGACAAGCCTTTGTCAAACAACCAAGTGAAGAATTGGGAAAAATGAGGAATGGAAGGGTGGGAAGGACAGAAACCACATCAAAGGGACCCAAGGTGGAAGGCAGATTATCGCCTTTGGTAAAGGGACATAGACAAAGGTCTGATGGATTGGGAAAGGAAAAGAGCTGAGGCAATGGACCTGACAAATGCCATATGTGAAGAAGGACAGTGGTGATGTCTGAATGAACAATCTCTGACCAAGTTTGATGGAGTAGAAACTGAGGTAAGGGAGGTTGGTTGTACACGTTAAGGTCAGAGCAGTGGGTACCATGGTTGTACTGGCCAATATGGAGCCACCAGTAGTACTAAACATAGAGTGGCTTGGATTAGGAATAGAACTCTGGAGATGAGTCGATTAGGAGGGTAAGCATAGATAAGAAGACCCCTACAACCTAGACTGAATAGTTCCACACCTAGAGTCAGCAGGTGTGGAATGGGAAACTAAAAGGAGGAAGTTTGGTGTACCAGTGGGTGGCAAAGGCATATATGAGGGGTCCCCAGCTAGTAACACATCCACTGAAAGACCTGTGGATCGAGGGACTGCTCCGTGAGGAGAATCTTGTTGGGACAAGATAATCAATCTGTAGCCAGATTCAGAGCCCCAGGAACGTGGCAGGCAAAGACCACAATGCAGTGACTGTGGGCCCATAAAAGGAGATCCAGGATCTGAAAGTATAGAGACCTGGAATTGGTCCACCCATGCTTGGTGATATAAATGACCACTGTGAAGTTGTCAGAGTGTATCATAACCACCCTACCCTGCAGGAGAGAAAGGAAGTGGGATAAAGCTTGATGAATCGCCATAAGCTCGAGTATGGTGATATGGAGAGAAAACTCCTTGATCGACCCAAGACTGAAAATCTCCCAGGAGATGAGGTAAGCACCCCAACCCTTGAAATATAATTCAGTGAACAGATGTAAATCTCGATGAGGCAGAGGAAGTGGCAACCTGCTGTGGTTTGGTTAGCTTTGATCAGGGAATGAAGTGTAAAAGGGTAATCCAAGTATAAGTTCTACTGATATAGGAGTTCTCACAGACAGGAATGAATATGAGCTCAACCCATGGGAATGAAAGCTTTCAAGGAAGCCCACATCCTCAAAAGAGATAGAACCTTTCAAGCTGGGAGAGAATGTGAGGTGAGGGCCTTGTGAACTGCTTGCTACATATCCAAAAGATGAAGAGGAGAAGGCTGGACCTAACTGAGGTAAGAATGAAGAAAACTGCCAAAGTAATTGAGAATTGAGTGCAGGTAATAATGGACTTCCCCCTTTCATCAAGAACCCCACCAGTGCTGCTTCTTGTAGGAGCAGAAGAGAGTGGTCTCTGAATTGTGAATGGCAAGAAGCAAACACTAGCCAGTCATCCATGTAATGATGAGTGAAAAACCCATCAAGTGAAAATGTTAGGCAAGATTATGTACCATCTGATGAAACTATTAAAGAGCCGAGGTTAATCCAAACAATAGGGCTCTGAACTGGAACATTCAACTACGAGCAATAAATAACAATCCACATGATGAGGACATAATGGGGATGAACCCTGAATTTTAGATTACGAGGAGAAAAGTTGGTTTCTCGTATCAAGAACATAGGACAAGGAACCAAAGCAAAGCTCAGCCCTATGAAAAGGAAAGAAACAACAAAAAAATTAAAAATTAAGTCCTACATGACAAAAATTAGGATTAAATTTAATATATTTAACAATGACAAAAAAAATTATTCAAATAGAACAGTGAATTAGATGTTACTAGTAGTAATGATATGTAATGTACAAACTATCTAAACATATCTTGTGAACAAAGGACTGACAAACCATCTAAATTTACCTATTCCACAAAGTATGGAATAATAATGAACATTCAAACTGACTAAAATTACAGAGAAAACAAAGTAATAAGCAATATCTCGAACATACAGCAAAACCAGAATGTGCATCGACCAACAATCTCATTAAAAAGCTGTGAAAAAAGTGAAAGGGTAAAACTCCTGAAGAGGTATAGTGTGTGACAGACCAAAATAGAAGGTGCCAGAAAAAAAGAGTCCAAATAGTCTTCTCCTTGATTGTTTTCTTCCTCAGAAACATTGCCAAGAAGAAGAAATCGAAAGCCGAACATATAAACCTAGCTCTCTGCAAATCAAAGCCTGTACCTCCTCTGCAGATAAAGTCAAACCCAATTCCTGGGAAGTTATACTAATAACTGCAAGAAGAAATAAAAGAAAAAAATTTTTTTTTTAAATTGAATGCAAACAGAGTGAAATAAAACTTGAACAAAATTTTAAATGTCAAAGAAGCATAATAATAAATATTAGCCACATGCAAAAAAATTACACATCTAAACAGCACTGTGCCAATTGAGATAGTAAGGATTGAGCAGGAATAGCAGAAGGAGCTAGCTGTGCCAATCAATATAGGTGATGCAATACTATAGGTGGAAAGTAGTCACATGATACGTACATGCTTAAAAATGGAGCATAATTGATGGGGTATATAAACTGGTACACTGAGTGCAAAAATGCTTAGAGGGCAGAAAGAAAATCGAGATAGCTTTATGTGAAAGGAGGTAAGACTATATTGGAAATTTCTCAATCTCTCTTAGTATGAGAATTGTGGCATTTGCTCTCTAGGTCTTCTCTCATCTCTAATTTATTTACCACTTCTCTGAAAAGTATAGAATTTAATGTAAATTATTTATTATAATACAGATATTATTCATGTAAAGCATAATTTTATAGCCTTCAATCTTATTTGTTTATGGAACCCAAAACTAGAAAATCAGATCCAGCTGCAATGCCTACCTGTCATATCATCTCTTTTCCCAAATTGCCTATACGTTTCTCTGACATTTTATACTATATTGTTTATAACCAATAGAAAGCCAAAGATTTAATTTATCAAATGACCTATTTAATACTTCTTTTTTGTACGGGGCATTTTTTACTTCATCATTCAGTTTCAAATTGTTTCTCATGGGAATCACATCAATAATCATAGCTGAATTTTTAATGGCTCTTATTGCACAGTTAGAAAGCCAGTAAAAATTAGGATAGTTAAAAGACATTGGCTGTTTTTTATGTGTTATTATTCTGTGTTCTTAGATGAATTGTTTAATTAAATGAAAAATTAGTAGTAGTATCAGTGGTATAAAAAAGTAGGGTTAAGTTTTATCAACAATTGACAGCAAAAAAAAGAAGACTAAGTTTAATATTATATTTCTTCTTTGATAGATTGTTTAGGCAGAGTATTCATGCTGAAACTTTGTAAAATGGACGGTAACTGCCTGTTGTAGAGACACAAATATAGAGGACAACGCTTCGAAAGTCTTCCGCCCTTCATCTTCTGAACAGGGTAACGTAATCTACATGTTTGCCAATTGATTTGCAACTTGTGTTATGAGATCATTAGTTAGACAGTTCAAATGGCAATAAAATGTAAGTATAAACAGATGTATACTGTTACTGGCTTTAAGCTATTTAGGATAAACAACTGTTACAACTTGCAGTCAAAAGGAGAATTTAGATTTCCTAATTTTAAATGGTGTTATGAGGTTTGTAAAATCAACCAACCCTGTATACAGTTATGCTAGAGAAAATTACATATATAGTTTTTCTTTAAAAAAGAAAAAATAATATTTGGTATTTATGAAAATGAATTTTGAAAAGTTTCAGATGAAGAAAAGTATTTTTAATCTTAACATGAAAATCACTTTGCACTCAGGGCAGTCAACACTCTCTACATATTTATGATGAAATTTTCAGTAAAAATACTTAATTAAAAATTCTAATTTATTTTTCTATTAAAGACTTTAATGTTTCTGAAAGCTTGCCAAATATTTTGAAGCTGCATTAAGTACTTTCGGAGTTATAGTATGTATACCTTCATCATTACATGGATGTTACAAGGTCAGGCAAAATACACGAACCTGTTTCAAAAGACTTAAAAATAACATTTCATGCAATTTATGAAAGTGCATTTTTATTTTCTTTGAAAAGCCAAAGTACTTCAAAACAAATTCACACAATAACCAAATTTTGAAACTTTTACTTAAACGGATTCATATACTTCATACACAGTATAAACATTTTTGAAAAAATTATTACATGTGTATGTAAAATCATACAAGATTCAACACAAGCACAATCTTTCATTTGAACATGTGAAAAAAAATACAAGTTTTATGCTAACAAGGAATGTCTTTTTTAATCCATAATATTATATCTTATAAATACAACTTACATTGTAAGTAATGGATCAGCATTAAAACAAGTGAATAACTGGAAAGTGTCCTATTCTTAGCATCATTGATATCATTATCTTTGGCCCACCTTTTGATTATAAGAACCAGCGGTTTAACTCTCCAGTCCACTGGAAAACATTTATTAACATAACAGCTATAGTTTCAGTTAATTTTAAGATCAAAATGTAGGCCTTTTTTGTTTATTTTAAGATGTAAATTTAAGAGTTTTCAAAAACATTTATAATTTGCTTAGGATATTTATTCCAAAAATCTGCATCAGAAAACTAATTTTCTTCAAACAAAAAGCAATAAACAATTCACATACATGACTTATTTTACTTCTTAACTGTTTATTTCCTCTGAATTCTAGTCTTCAGCATTGGTTACCATCACATACTTCATACTTGAAAAACAGAAAAAGAAATAACTGATTAGAATCTGATTATTTATCAAATTTTATTACACTAAACTTGAAAAATGTGAACTTAAACTGTTTCCACCATAACAACTAAATGTTTTATCTTTTATAAATGTTGGAAAGAAAAAAAAGAAAACTTGTAATACAATTATCTCACTAGCTGCTGTCTGTAAAAAGTAAATGACTACAGTAAACTGCCATTGTGTATTTGTGAACAAGTAAACTCTTACTCAAGTAAAATCACTATCATCTTACCTAGAAACATTCCAGTTCAGTTTGTATTGCTATAACTTTTATACACCAAAGCTTTGATTAACATAATAAATTGGTAAACTCAGAACTGCATTTTTTATCAATAAAATGCTAAAACCATATTCTTGTTAGAAAACATCAAAACTAAGGAGCTATCTGTTCTTGATTAGTCAGCTATAAAAAAAAAATACCAATACTGAGCTCTCTTCCAAATAAGTAGCTTAAATAAAGCAAGAACAAATTATGAATTAAAGAGACAGCCAACGTCAACAACTATGCAATGATGCAAGCCTTAAGAATTGGTCTTTTACCCCTTCATTTGCAGCTTGTATAAATCTGCCTACCACCCCATGCACAACACATTATGTGTTGTCAAACACATTTGCTTATGCTAACATCATATGATGTCAACCACAGTTGAAGGATTGAATAACCAGAAATATTAAGCTGTGTGTCTTTGGTTGGTGATAGTGAGTTTTTATTTAGGGTCTTTGAAAAGCCATCCAACATTCTTATTTCTTTTGCATTAAGTTCAGTCTTCTTCTATTGCTTTTTCTTTTCTATTTGTTCTCTTGTTTCTTTCATTGTAGTTTTTACTACCTTAATAAGTCCCTAAGCATCACCTACTTCATCTAATTTCTTGTCTTTCAAAGCTTTTTATGCCTTTCATTAGCTTCTCCAAACAATTTCTCTGCTGATCTTAGTTTATATTCTAACTGTTTGTCCTCTTCTGTCATAGTTTTCTTTCCCTTTCTTCCAGCCCTCTGCTAGTTTCTTCAAGAATCAATAAATATTTATATACGTAAATGTTTAAATATAGCTCAGTATTGTTATGTAATCTAAATTTTCTAGAAAAACCTCCCCACACCTATAAATACAATGCGACACGCTAAAGTGAGTGTCTATTATTAGTTCGCTGTAGTCAGCGTGCTATAAACTTCAAAAGCTCTAACCGTGATTGTTATAATGCTTATAAATAATCGGAAAGCTTCTAGTATTTGACCAGGAATATTTGCAAAGTTCAAACATTACAAACTATTTAACTTCAGTGGACTTTCATCGGATATTGGTATTTTTACGAAAACATTATATAAATTCATCGTGGAGAGCTCAGCGTGTGTGGCCAGTAACTAATGGTAAATAATCTAACATCATCGTTGGAAACTCAATCTCTAATAGGCGTATGATCAGCAAGAAATACAGGGCTAGCAAACTCCCTTTTAAGCTTGATTTTTTATAGTAATTATAGTAAAGCACTTAACAATTTTTATTTAATTAAATAATGCACCAAAGGAACTAATAACATGCAAAAAGTAGACAAATTCACTTACCTCTCAAAATTTTTCCGGCTTTCTTACTATGTGACAAGAGCCATTACAAATTCATCCAAGCTACTCATTAACTTTCCCAAGGGAATGATATTGCTACTTTGAGTGAAATTGATGATTATCTGTTTTGAACTCAACGTTATACAATACGTCATTTGATAGACGAAAATCTTGACTTTCTATTGGTTATAGGTAATATATAAGGAAACATAAGAGAGAATTATCAATGACTTGTGAAAGAGAAGATGTGACAGGTGAGTGTAGCAGGAGGGGTCTGATTTTCTACTTGATAGCTCTGTAACCAAACAAAACTGAAAGCTATAAAAATTATGGTCTGTTTGAGCAATAACGATTTTTAGAGAGTATTTTACGTTTAATTTCGTACACTTTCGAGGTGTGATGGATAAAATAGGGATGATGATACGCTAAGACAAAATGTGTCACATGTGTCACACTATAGTGGAAATTCGGGATTTTGTTATATATTTCCTTTTGGAAATTAGAACTTAAAACTTGTATACTATTAAAATATGGATTATTAGCTAAGTTTTTTATGCTATTCTAATTGATATAAAATAAACAAAAAGTAGTTTAATAAAATTTTGAATGTAAGACATTAAAACCTTGTGTCATGCGCAGTGAAGGGTACTCAGGGAGAGAGGGTTAAAATACCTTTGAAATTCTTAATGCTATAAGGACATATTTTTAAAAAATCCTCAATCTCTCCAATTTGTGACAATTTTGACATTTACTCTCTACGTCTTCCCTCTTCTCTAATTTATTTACCAGTCTTCTAAGAAGTATGGAAATTAACATAAATTACTCATTATAATACAGTTATTACTCAGGCAAAGCATAATTCTTATAGCCTTCAATCTTATCTTTTTAAAGAGCCATAAGCTAGAAAATCAGACCAACTTGCCACACCCACTTGTCACGTTCCCCTCTTTCAAAAATTGCCAATAGCTTTCTCTGAAATTTAATATATTATTTATAATCAACAGAAAGCCAAAGTTTTAATTCATCAAATGAAATATCATATTGCTTTGTTTTCTGTATAGAGGATTTCAAACTTTATTTCCACAAGGAACACACTGATGAGCTTAGCTGAATTTTTTTCATCAGCTCTTATTGTATAGTTAGAAAGCCAGAAAAGTTGATAGTTGTAAAACATTGTCTGATTTTTACGTGTTATTATTCTGTGTTCTTAGGTGCATTACTTAATAACATAAAAATGTATTTGGTGTAGTAGTACCATTAGTATAAAAAGAGAGTTAAGATTCATCAAGGGCAAAAAAAAGGTACTATATTTTGTTTTTCCTTTATATTTTCTATTTATTATTATAAAAGTAACTGAAACGAAAAAATTAGAAACTTATTAAGTTATATTGGGTAAGATAAAGAACAATAACAATAATAAATTTTCATGGGGTATGCTCACGAGTAGCTCATGGCATTACATAATTTGATAGGGTAATGCAAGTTACACCAAGTGATTTACAACTTGTGTGGCAAGATTATTAGTTAGACAATAAAATTTAAGTAGAAACAGATGTATACAGTTACAAGCTTAAAGGTATTTAGAATAAACAAATGTAGTATTTAAGTATTTTGTTACAACTTGAAATTATCCTAGAAAGCAAGAAAGAAAAATTTAGATTTATTTATTTTATGGTAGCTACATCAGTCATTTTGACTGATCCTGTATAAAGTTAGAGTAGAGAAAATAAGAGATAAAATACAGTTTTACTAGAAAAAAAAAAGTGTTAAATCTACTTAGGAACTTTTAGAGATTAGTCAAATAAAACTTGACACTTTTCAGATGAAGAAAGTATTTTTAATCTTAACATGAAAATGATTGTACTCAGAGCTGTCAGCAATTTGGCTCCATAAATTCACAGAATATTTTTTAGTAAAAATACTTCATTAAAAATTCTGATTTTTCACCTACAAAAGACTTATAATGTTTATTGAAAGCCTGCAAAATTTTGTGAAGATACATAAAACATATTAGATGTTATAGTATTGAAACTCTAAAGATCAAGTTGTGGTCATGAACTCAGGCAAATTGACCAAGCCCATAGAGAGAGAGTTAAAAGTTTCCATAAATCATCATAAAAAGACAATTTATTTCAATATGCAATGAAATCTTTCCAAAAACAGCCCTTCAGAAACCAACCCACCTCTGGAAACTGGACACTTATACTGGTGCTTTAAATGTTTATTGGATGCCTCTGTGATACAATAAAATCTTGGTCCTAGACAAGGCTGGTTTGGAGAGATTTCACTTTACAAGTATAAAGGCAAGGCCCTGCAACTTTCCTATTCATATGCAAATATAAGTAAAAGAAGCAACATTCCCTCAGTAGTTTTTTGTTAGGAATATTACAGGAATATCTGTACTTTATTACAACTTACCATAATAAAAAGGTGATATAGAACCCTCATTACTAGGGATGTTGATCTTTGAAGTATGCTGATAATGAAGCTGAAGATGAGAATTCACTGGAAACAGTGTTGAAACAAAATCTGCATAATATATAACTAGAAAACATTGATTAAGTAGATATTTAAACAGAAACATGCAAAACAAAGTTTGATTTGCTTTATATACTTCAGTTTCTCAGTAAAACATAAAATTTCAAGATTCCAAAGAAATAAAGGCTTTTTAAGGATGTTTGAAAGCTCATATTAAGAAATATTTAATAGCTCAAAAGTCAACTAGAAATAGGGGATTCATTATTGTTTCTATTACCTTAACAGCATTTTGCAAAACCTTAAAAAATGAACATTTGAAAGTGTTTAGAACTATATATATAATTCTGAAAAGTATCCAATCATGGTTTGATATAATATTATCCTTATTACTTCAGAAATTTTAATAAAAACTATCAACAGCAATGACCTATAAATTCTATATTACACAACAAAAGAATGATTAATTTGTTAGATACATTTTCTAATCACTAAAAATATAGTAATAATTCACAAAAAATAACAATCTAAAACTGACTTCTATAAGTTTTTTTTATCATATTGAAAGCAAAGTAAGACAATAATATAAAAATAAACAGTTGCTGTGAAAAAAAGTATGTAGTGGAAATCAGAATAACAAAACAATGCATGTTCAATAAGTAATGAACGAAAATTAAATAAAATAACAGAAGCAATGTAAAAAAAAGTTTCAAAACATTTTTTTTCAAACCTTCAATCAAATAAACATGATTTTCTTTGGAAGAAAGTAACACAATCACACTTATATAACAACTTAGCAGTCAACTAAAATATTATGTGAAAAAGAAGTTATTTTTCTATTACTAAGTCTTTTACCTGAAAAATTGTGATAAGTCTTTTCTGCGATTCTACCACACAATTTCTTTTTTAAAAAGTGTGCAAAAGAATAAAAAAGTTATGTTTTATGAAAAGGAAAAGAGCCTAGACTCAGAAAGTGCATTTCTTCAATCACACAACTTTAAACTGGGTAAATTAACATAAAAAATTAAACATGCACTGAGCAAATCAAACTTCATTCAATTTGTTGTTCCAACCTTTATACACAGCGTGGTCACAAGTAAATAGACACCACCTTTTTAGAAAAAAAGAAATTTTTCAGTCATATTCACATCTTCCTTTCGCTTCGTGGAGTTTGTTGATCCTTTGGGGCATCATGAAAATCATCTCGTCAATTTTAGTGTGACACGGTGCTCCATCTTCCTGGAACAACATTGTGTTCTTGTCCACGAAACCTGAGGAATAAAGTGGCAAGAGTCCTTCCTCCAATATTTTGACGTATTTCGCAACATTTACGTTGCCAACGCACTCCACTAAGCTCGATCTCCCACCAACCCAAAAGTTCCCCAAACCATCACGCTGAAACCACCATGCTTCACAGTTGGCTGCAATCTGTTGAGCCAAAACTCTTGGTGAGGCATTCCCCAGACCCATATCCTTCCACTGTCCACAAATTGAGCGAAT